ATCCTTCAGAGTCCTGTACCTTAGAAACGTAGCACACCTAACTCTTGCCATACAGACCCTTACTTACCCTTTAGCTGTGAGAACTATAACCAATAAATATGTACTTTGTTTGATCCACTCAGTCATGGCTGGATTTTTTTTTAAGTCTAGACAGTCTATTGTTTGTTCTATCATATTGATGATGGGATTTGAGAATCTTTCTAAGTACTTGCTGTGCAATCAATTGGTGAGGTCACATAGTGACTGTTCAGACTCCTCTAGATTTTTCACTAAAGAAAAAAACTTCCCTGTGTGTTCAATGCAGAAAACTTCACTTATTTAGCCATTTGATTTTGTACGTGTTTTTTCCAAAATAAAATTTAGTGCCATAGCATTAGGCTTAAGATATCAAAATCACTTTAGTAAGTATTAGAAGCTTCTAAATGATACATAGCAACATAAAAGGCTAAGACACCATAGTTACCATTTGAAAGTTTTCCTCTCTAATTCTTAATTATTACAATTTGTTCATTCCACACATTTTACCCATCTGCGGCTCAGTGCAGGCTTTGGGCTGGGCACAGAGCAAGACTGCAAATATAATTACTGCCAAAGTCTAGCTCTGCTCTCCTCCAGGAGCATTTCTCTCCTGAGCTTAAACAAAACCAGACCCCGAGACAAATGAGCCCTATGCTAAAGGTTTGAGTATAAAGTTGGCTATTGGAAACTCACACCCTAATTTCAGCCACTAAATATGATGTCCGGGGCAGGTAGATTTCAGTACCGCCAACAAACAGGATGTATACCTCTGCCTGAAACGCAGTCCTGAGGAATCTGCCTCGAATCCCTCTAACAACGATCAGAACACCAGTTTTCCGGACACTGTGGGACTGTGGATGAGAGGATGAACACGTGTCATTAGGATCTTCTGAACAAGGGCAGAAAATCCAGAGCACAACAGTTTCCGTTCGCCGGCTTGGCAGAGGAGCAGGCATCTCCAAAAGCAAACAGTCCTCATATGTTCCCACTTGTGGATCAAAAGGCAGCGGAACCCAAGTAAGTGCGTGTTTACTGCTCTCGGATGGAAAGTCACTGAGCCTCCCGTGCAAGCACCTGGCACTGGGCTCCAGGCAGGCGCAGCCAATGCAAGCCTTGGGGGTCCGGACCACGCTGGCTGGGGCCCTTCATGACCCCCCCCCAGGGGCTGGCCCCCCACACCTGGGCGGGTGCGGTCATTGTCCGCCAACTTACCGCTCTCTTCTTGGGCTGCACTTGTTCTTCAGAGCACAACCAGAGAACTGTATTACATGCAGTGGGCAGCACACGATATATTTTCTTTGTTCACTTCCTGTGGTTTTCCCTTAAGTTTTAGTAAAGTTCTTTAAAAAAAAAAAAAAATGCCTGAAGGATGGAGAACCCTGCTTGCTGAGTCGCCCCAGGCATTTTCCTGGATGCCCCAGGCAGTTTAATTCTATTTACACCATCCCGGTGCCCGCCTCCCTCCAGGGTCAAGCTGGGAGCCCAAACTGGTTGGGATACTTCCTCTTGTGTATCTCCCTGACTCCTCCCCTGCATCCTGCTTCCAGCTTTCACGCCCACCGCTTGGGTGGTATTGGCCCCTGCCCCCTGCGTGCCAGCCTTGCGGGTATGTACCCCTGCTAAGTGCCCCGGGCGCTCCCACACTTGTCCACGTATTCCCTTCGCCCACCACATCACCGGTGCATTGAGGGCTGGGACCAGGGCTTACTTCCCTTTGACTTTGCAGTCACCTAGAGTGGCAGACACTCAGCAAACCCCTGATAACTGAGGAAGTACATCCACCAGCATGGCTGGCTTCCCAAACAGAGGAGGCAGTCAGCACTAGTTTCAACTCCAGATGGCTCCCCTGACAAAACGCGTGTTGACATGTTGGCGGTGCATATGAGTGACAGATTTATATTCCGTTTTTTTTCTACCTCCCAAAACACAAAGACTCGTATAACATTGTTCTCCATACAAAATATCTTCTCAAAAAATTTTGGAATTATTGTACTAGGTTTATAACAGAAGTTTAAAGTCTTTTGTATTTTTTTTAAGATTTTTTTTATGTATTTGACAGAGAGCACAAGTAGGCAGAGCGGCAGGCAAGAGGGAGAGGGAGAAGCAAGCTTCCCGCCGAGCAGGGAGCCCGATGCGGGGCTCGGTCCCAGGACCCCGGGATCATGACCTGAGCCGAAGGCAGACGCTTAACAACTGAGCCACCCAGGTGCCCCTAAAGGTAGGTTTTTAAAAAGATTTTATTTATTTATTTGAGAGAGACAGAGCATGAGTAGGGGGGAGGGGCAGAGGAAGAGGGAGAAGCAGACGCCCCACTGAGCGTGGAGCCTAATGTGGTGAGGGGGGCGGGCTCCATCCCAGGACCCCTAGATCATGATCCGAGCTGAAGTCAGAGGCTTAACCCGCTGAGCCACCCAGGCACCCCTTGAGATAGATTTAAAGAAAATTTGGAAGGGCTTAAAAGAGATACAAATTGATTTCTCCACAAACTTTAGAGCACCATTCTAAATAGTATTCAGTAAAGAACAATCTTCCTAAAATCTAAGTTCCAAAGCCAATGTTAATAGGCATTCTATTCTTCATTTCTATTTTTCTGGTTAAAGAGTGTTATCTGTCCTGCTTCTGCATCTGACTTGCCATAGTGCCTCAGTACTACAGTATTCAGTCTCAATTACATGTGTATGAATCATAGGAACTATATAAGACTTTGCATTATTTTAATGCATTATATGCATTTACTTTGAATATTATTTTTCCCTGAAATGGACCTTTCTCTTTGTGCTAAAGAAATAGTCTTGGACCAAGAAATTCAAAATGAATAGTAGGCGAACTATATTAGGTATGTTTCTTGTGCCTAACAACACACGTCGGGACTGAACTAAGTTTTATATTAAAACATATTGATGAAATACCTGATGTAACTAATGTTTTATAAATGCCTCTAACATGTAGCCCTTTATCATTTTGGCAATACTGAATTCAGATAAAGATTTCTTCACACTGGGTGTCGAGAAAAAGGAACCCTCGAGCACTGTTGGTGGGAATGCAAGCTGGTGCAGCCACTGAGGAAAACAATATAGTGGCTCCCCAAAAAGTTAAAAAGAGAACTACCCTATGATCCAGGAATCACACTACTGGGTATTTACACCAAAAATAAAAAAACACTAATTCAGGAGCACCTGGCTGGCTCAGTCAGTAGACCATGTGACTCTTGATCTTGGGGTTGTAAGTTCTAGCCCTACATTGGGTGTAGAGAGTACTTAAAAATAAAATCTTTAAAAAAACACTAATTCAAAAGGATTTTTAAAGAGGATATTTGCACCCCTATGTTTATAGCAGCATTATTTACAATAGCCAAATTATGGAAGGAGCCCAAGTATCCATCGATTGTGATATATATATATATATAATGGTCTGATGAAGTTGTAATATATTATATATATATACACATATATATAAAGATGTGTGATATATATAATGGAATATTATTCAGCCATAAAAAAGAATGACATCTTGCCATTTGCAACAACGTGGATGGAGCTATAATGCTAAGTGAAATGAATCAGTGAGAGAAAGACAAATACCATATGATTTCAATCATATGTGGAATTTAAGAAACAAAACAAAGAAACAAAGGGGGGAATAAGAGAGAGAGAGAGACAAACCAAGAAACAGACTCGACTATAGAGAACAAACTAATGATCACCTGAGGGGAGGAGGTGGGGGATGGGTGAAATAGATGGTGGGGATTAAGGAAGGCATTTGTCGTGATGAGCCCCAGGTGATGTATGGAAGTGTTGAATCACTATATTGTACACCTGAAACTAATATAACACTATGTTAACTAACTAGAATTAAAACAAAACAAAAAACCCCAAATAAATAAATAAATAACCTCAAATCTGGTTCCCCATACACATTCCAAAAAATTTATTCTGTAAAGACAATACATTTTTTATTTTGAAAAAAACAAGATTCCTCCATGCTTTCATAATCATACTTTGATAAGTTCAGGAAGAATTTATGGTTTAGAAAAATAACCTTCGCAGCAATACCTGTAGATGAATGGGGTAGTGTAGACAGATCCCACAGGGGGGGATGATTAGGAAACGGATGTAGAGAAAATGAGCAATGTAATAATTTCTCTGCTGTCCTGAAATAATCTGATAAATACATTGTAAAGCAGTTGATACAGAGACAATGAGAAGATCAGTCACACATCTTTCACCTCTTTGAAACATGCATGTCAATTCTGATTTGTGCTGAATGCAAGGCTGTATCTTATGCCTATATTTTCCTTTCCTTTTTTTTTTTTACAGAATGAATGTCAGAGAGATAATTCATTACACAGCATGGAGATTGCACTCAAATGGTTGGTGGAGAGGTGAAGGCCTCCCCTGCCACACAGGGAGCTACCGTCCCTGCTCTCCAGCTCCTGCTTGCCGGCGGTCAGCACAGGTAGGAGTTTAGCATTTATGCACGGAGCTGATGTCCAACAAATAAAAGCAAAAGGGAACTTCGTTTTGTCCCCCTCCTATGACTTGGTGTTATAAGGCACTTCGGTAGTAAAACTCTAATGTGTGTTTGTAAAAATATAGATAATGTACATAGTTCTGCATTTTCCAAGTTTTCTACTATAAGCATGCGTTATTTCTATAATTAGAAAAAACAACTTATAAAGAAATGAGGGGAAGAGGTGTGGGGAGCCAGTTTTCCTCTCCAAGCACCTGAGGCCACAATGAAGAATGAAGGAGCCACTGTTCTTCATCACGGCAGGGGTTAGTGAAGGATCGAATGTGCTGGAGTTGAAACCAGAGAGGTTTCAATCAGGGAGGCACATGGCATAGTGTTGCGGGCGAAGAGCCCCCAGTCTGATGAAGATCTCTCTCTGTAATTAAAACCTCTTATGCTTCAGCCTTCAGCCATTATGTCTTATTCTGAGGGCGGCAAAGATGAAAACAATTGGCTCATTTTCCTCACCTACGTTCTCTCTGAGATGGCATGGCGTGCTTCTTCAGGTATTGGAGATTTCTTAGTCCTGCAGACCCTGCAAGGGGGTTTGGAGTGGGCTCTTTGGGAGACAGACCAGAAAATATGATGGGATCAGGAACCTGCATATTCTCATCAGAAAAGGGCAGGTGGTCCAGCGAAGAGCCTCGTCCCCCCTCAGGTCACCACATCACCGTCGCCTTGGGAACAACCCTACAGAGCACAGCTTCTGTATGTGGGTAGATTTGAAGACTTATGAGGTCGGGAGCAGGTGGGTACACAGAGAAGGTGGGAAAGAGAGTTTGAGAGAGAAAAGAAGGAAGTAACAGTGTAGACTGAGAAATGAGTGACAGGAGACCCTGCGGTCCCAGGACAACACTGAGAATGGCCACTTCATGCCTTCATTCCCAATGGCTTCCCGTGCCGTTCCCATTTTTCCTGAGGTCCAGCTATGCTCCCATCCTTGGATTCTGTGAGGTACCCCTGTATCCTTATCTTCTCCTTTTCTTTTGTCATGAGCGATCTTGAGTGGATTACCTACAACCAGAAGGAAACTGAAGAGAATTTTGCACACATCCTTTTGGTTTGCCTCTGTTTAGGGTGCTTTTATCCTGAATAAGCAAGTTTTTTAACTTGAATAAAGCCAAAGCTAGCTCTCATTTCCTTTACAATGTTTGCTGCTGGTTTTAGTCTTCAAATAGCCATTTGCACCTGAAGATCATATAAATAGCCAACTGCATTTTTTGTTGTGCTTTTTTTGTCTGTCTTTATTATTTCTTTGTATTTTCCTTTGGTTCTTGTGTGGTTTTATTTGTTACATTAAAACCTCAAATCAGGCTGGGATTTATTTTAGCACAAGGAGTATGATATAAGAAAGGTATCATTCTTCACTTTTTTTCAATGGTTGTAGAAAAAGAAGCCCAAGGTTGGGCAAAGGTACCTGGGCATGCTGTTTCCCACCTAGCCTCATCCGGATTCCTTTATAACAGAGCTTATGGTCTCTAAGAACCTTGAATCCATAAACATCTTCTGAAGTTGGTCTTTGCTCTTGGCTTATTCGAGTTTTATGAATTCCTGGACATGAAGAAAAAAGGCATAGCGATTGATTTCCTTCTGAGAGTCTGTTCCACAGATATGGGTACCCTGGGAAAGAAGCCTACAGCTTTCCTATCCCAGATCTATCCATCTATCTATATAAATGCCTCCCAGTCTCTCATGCCTGAAATAAATTCACTGTAATCAGTTCACCCCCACCCCCCTGCCTTACTATATTCCTGGCATACAGTACAATAAAGCCTGCTTCTCTAGAGAATAACTAAACCAGAGACACTGTGTTCCATTTTTATGATGAGACACATATTTCCCAACCAAGAGACAAATCCTTCATTTCAAAGGATTGAAGGGATAATACTTCTAAAACATTCCAGCTGGTTGAACGAAGGGCACTGACAAAAATCAGCTCCAACTTTTAGTTGGCTCTGAACCCACACCATGCTCATTTGATTGTGAATTGGATTAGCTTTTGCTCATTTGATGCTCTTGCCCCTTGTTATTTTGCTCTAAAGAGAGGAAAATGTGGGGGCGCCTGGGTGGCTCAGTCGTTAAGCGTCTGCCTTTGGCTCAGGTCATGATCCCAGGTCCTGGGATCCAGCCCCGCATCGGGCTCCCTGCTCCGTGGGGAGCCTGCTTCTCCCTCTCCCACTCCTCTGCTTGTGTTCCTGCTCTCGCTATCTCTCTCTGTTAAATAAATAAATAAAATCTTTAAAAAAAAAAAAAAGAGAGAGAGGAAAATGTGTTCGGGGTCATGTTGGCCCCCAGTTCAATGCGCCGAACATGAGGCGTACGCTTGTATTGAAGATGTAGCCCTGTTCTTACAGATGTGTTTTCGACACTTAGCTGTATGGAATCATGGGCCATGTCTGTGCCACTTTGTCCCTTAACTGATGAATCTGACCCCATGGTACCGTCCTTCTGGGGCTGCAATGCCTCAGTTAGTCTCATTCAGCTTTTTTTCTGCCCCTTTGTGTACCGTTCTTTCTGTCTCCTTTAACTGACCACAATAGAGAGTGCCAATGCATTTCACTTTTTCCTATTGTGTTTATAATTACGAAATAGTGTTTCTTGTTACCTTTTCAAAATTTGAAATGCAGATATGCAGAATAGTTTTGATTTCTCAACTGAAAGGATAAATCAAACTTTGCTCCCCAATGAGCAGGGAGCTCGATGTGGGACTCGATCCCAGGACCCTGGGATCATGACCTGAGCCAAAGGCAGACGCTTAACCAACTGAGCCACCCAGGCGCCCCAAATCAAACTGTTTAAACTGGTATGACCCAAACTGACAGAGGGTTGACTTGCTTATTTTATTTCATTCTTATTTTTTTATTTCTAAAGCTGTGGATCATGGACGGGTCCTGGACAAAGAAAATAAATAGTTCCTATTCTATTCCTCCTGTTTCCCATTGAAGACTGGCATGATCCTCCTCTTCCCGGTCCTCCCTCCCTGTGCCCAGCTCCCCCTCCCCACCTGCTGCTCTGCTCCCACCTATCTTCCATTCACCACCAACTGCTCATGCTTTGTTTTTCTTACCTTCAGTAGAACCAGGATGTTAATTGTCGTCCGCTCCCATTTTCTACTGTCAGCCTTGCAGCCTCACTTCCACTAGATGGCGCTCATTCCGACCAGCCGCCACCCTTCCCTCCTACCTGCATAGCTCAGACTCAAACTGGGCACTGTTCACACTCTTCCAAAGCAGACTGGTGAGGCTGGTTGGTACTGCCAACCCCTTCCCAGGCCTGTGCTCATCCAGGAAATCACCACGCAAGATTTCAAGTCCTCACAGGCAACACAGTGGCAGATATTGTTGGTAATAATTTCCCTTGTTCATTGATATCTTTGGATTTGTTGGCTGCAGAATGTGCCACTGATGCTAGAAAAAAAAATGACATTGAATTTTCCCTTGTTAAAAATTTTTTGTAAAACTTTGTTGAAGTTTTTGCAAAATGCAAAAAATGTTGAGAAATCCGTGATGAAGAGAAGAGCAAGATGACCAGAAATTTTAGACCAAAGGAGCTGCTGGAGAGAGACAGTAGAAAGATAAGGGTTGGAACCTAGGCTGTAATTTGAACTTCTCACTAATTATACGGCCCTGCTGTTGATATGCCTGTGGTTTTTTTCTTTTTCTTTTGTTTTCTTTTTTTTTTTTAAGATTTTATTTATTTATTTGAAGAGAGAGACACAGCGAGAGATGGAACACAAGCAGGAGGAATAGGATAGGGAGAAGCAGGCTTCCCGCGGAACAGGGAGCCCGATGTGGGGCTCGATCCCAGGACCCTGGGATCATGACCTGAGCCGAAGGCAGACGCTTAACCACTGAGCCACCCAGGCGCCCCTCTTTTTCATTTTTTCAAGTTTCTGTAAAACATTTCTTTAATTTTTTTTTTTTTTAAGTTTGTGTCGGGGCACCTGAGTCGATTAAGTGTCTGACTCTTTATCTCAGCTCAGGTCTTGATCTCAGGGTCGTGAGTTCAAGCCCCATGTTAGGCTCTGCTCTAGGCGTGGAACCTACTTAAAAAAAAAAAGTTTGTGTTGTTTCTGGAGGCTGAAAATGTCCTCAAATATATACAAATTCTAATAGCAATAAGAAACCAAAAAAGAAAAAGGAGATTGTGGAACTAACCAGTCAAATGTAAACATCTCAGGTTGAGCTGGAGAGACCTGTGACCTTCATGGAGGACAGAAGTCACCAAAGAAACCTGAAGAACAGGTGCCTGGGTGGCTCAGTCGTTAAGCGTCTGCCTTTGGCTCAGGTCATGATCCCAGGGTCCTGGCATCGAGCCCCGCATCAGGCTCCCTGCTCAATGGGAAGCCTGCTTCTCCCTCTCCCGCTCCCCCTGCTTGTGTTCCCTCTCTCGCTGTGTCTCTCTCTGTCAAATAAATAAATAAAATCTTAAAAAAAAAAAAAGCTGAAGAACAAGACTGAAGTGACAGACCATCACAATGGCTTAATGTAACCATTAAATGATGCATTTGCTTTTGATTCCATAAATAAAGTTTTATAAATTGTTAGGACTGGGTAGCACCTAGTAATTGACTAAAATTAGATATTTGGTAAATATTTATTGAGCGAATGAAAAAAAAATCTTCAATAACTGATCATTTTTTCCAAAACGAATCTGGCCCAGTTTGGAGATGGGTTGGATTGGAGTTCTTTTTTTTTTTTTAAGATTTTATTTATTCATTTGAGAGAGAGAGAATGAGAGAGAGCACATGAGAGTAGGGAGGGTCAGAGGGAGAAGCAGACTCCCCGCCGAGCAGGGAGCCCGATGCGGGACTCGATCCCGGGACTCCAGGATCATGACCTGAGCCGAAGGCAGTCGCTTAACCAACTGAGCCACCCAGGCACCCCTGGATTGGAGTTCTATATAAAAAATAAAAGTCACGAGGGTGGATGGATTGTATTATAGATGGTTGTGAAAGACAAACGGAAGTTTAGTGTTTCCAGGGTAGCCAGTGGGACCTATGATTGTGTAAATGTGCAGAACTGACCTCATGAACTTGACTAGACCCCTTGAGGATGGGGTCTATACAGAACCAAGCTAAGCACAAAACAGGTGCTTAATCTGTAGTGGTAGAATAAACATTAAAGCTGGTGAGTAAAGGGGATGGGTCTGACTGTGATGTACAAAATGGATCGAGAGAGGAGATGGCGGATGCAGGCAGACCAGGTGGGAATGGGATATGATGGTCCCAATGGGGGATAAGGAGGTGTACTGGCAATAGGAATGGACAGGTGGAATTAAGATAGAATGGGGAGTTAATGAGATTTAGTGACTGACCCCACCTGGATGAGAGTCTTTCCCCATATAGATGCCAATTCCCAGGAAGGGAGGTAAGGCGGTGTGGAGCAGTGGTAAGGAGCTCAGTCTTTAAATCCAAACAAACAAAGAGTTGCATTCTACATCCACTACGTACTAGATATATGACCTTGGGAAAGGTGTTTAATCTCTCCCAGCCCAATTTCTTCTTCTATAAAGTAGCAGAGCTGTGAGAAGTCAATGAAATAATGCATGTAAGGTACTTATAATAGTACCTGGAAGAAAATAAATGTTGAATGAAAGTCAGCTATAGTCATTTTCCCTCTGTTCCACCTACTCATCAGAGATTTTCCAGAAGGAAGATGGTGTTCCGTTTTCCCAGGGCAAAATGACCATTAGTTCTCCAAATAGTCCAAGCCAAAAAGAATGTAGCAGTGTGTTTCAGTGGTTACCATGGTCACGGTTGCTGGTCATGAAACTTCTCATGCAGATAAATCAGGCCAACCTTAGCTGACATATAGTAATCACTATTAACAAGAAGGAAACCAGGTTCATGTCACAGCATGATTTATCTGCCCTTGTGGGAAACTATCACTGCCAAATTACTTTCTTTTTGGACACCATAATTGGAAATCTTAAATTCATCTCCTCATATTCAGTGCAAAACAAAACAAGCTTGATAATAAAACAATTGTTTTGGGTTGAAGTTGATCAACTTTGTTATTGTTATCAAGAATCCTGGCATATGTGTACTGCATCATGTTATATTTTCAGGGGTATAAGTTAATACCTACATTGGCATTTCTGTAAAAGTCCTTCCTTCCTCACACCACCACCCAAAGTCCATGCTTTTCTTTGTGTCTTAACACCAGTACCACCTCCGATCACAAACCTGCACACACACACAGAGTCACAACTCCTGTTGTGAAAAATATAACTCTATCTTTTTCTGAAATATTGCCTCCTGGTTTTGATTAACTGAAAAGGGTTAAGACAAAGTTTTGATAAATGGCAGGAGGCAGATCATGCAGAAACGTGCTATTCTGGCCAAGGAATGTCCTCAATTTGAGAACATAAGATAAGAAACAGGAAATGAAAAAGAAAATAAAAATCTCCCCCAATTGTAAAGTGTATTAATGGTCAATAACCTTCTGAAGATTATTTCTCTTTAAACATCTGGAAATAGGCTCTTGGTGACTTCCTGGCTAGTTGAGCATTACTTTTTATGAGATACAAGACCAAGATCCACACAAATTTAGGACAAAATGAAATGAGCCACATTTTCCAATTGAGTATTAGTTCTCTTTCTTTCTTTTGTTATTGTCCTTAAATTAATAGAGACTATATCTCCACAAAAAACAATTTTATCAATTACATTTTTTATTTGTTTATGCATTTATTCATTCCACAAATACCTATTTAGAAACGCCTAGTATATTTCAAATGACTGAAACACAGTTTTATTTTTGTCCATTCTTATGAGATGACTAAGGAATATATAAGGAGCCCATGGATCTGTGGCTGTCCTTCTGTTTCAGAGCCAGGTTGGATAAATCTGACTAATTTGTCTAGGGGCAGATGTCAATAAGCCCGTTAGGCCTCAGATCTGATATCACATTCTTCAACCAGCTTAATCAGTAACCTATTGACATTTTGATCTTCATTTGTTTGCCTCTTAAGTTTCATTTCTCATTTGGTTCCAAATTTGGGTGGAGATGTTTATTGAACTCCCAAACCCCAACATCTTGGTGCTTTAGCTAGGAAACAGGGACAGGTAAAAGGGTTGACTTGAAGATTGAAAAAAAAAATGTGGGGACTGATGCTTCTGTTCTGAAAAAGGCAAGAAGTTAATTCTTTTTTTTTTTTTTTCTTTTAAGTAGGCTCCACGTGGGGCATGGAACCCAAGGTAGATGAAGAGTGTGGAGCCCAACATGAGGCTTGAACTCATGACCCTGGAATCAAGACCTGAGCTGAGATCAAGAGTCGGAGGCTTAACCAACTGAGCCACCCAGGTGCCCCAGGCAGTTAATTCTTCTAGTGAGCTGCAACTTGCCTTAAACTACAGAGGCACAGCTTGACCTAGTATTCCAGGGAGATTAAGGTAGGGATTAGTTCATTAAAAAAGAGGAGGTTTGTTTTGTTTGGTTTGGTTTTAAGATTTATTTATTTATTGGGGGGGGCAGAGGGCAAGAGAGAATCTTTTTTTTTTTTAATTTTTTTATTGTTATGTCAATCACTATACATTACATCATTAGTTTTAGATGTAGTGTTCCATGATTCATTGTTTGTGCATAACACCCAGTGCTCCATGCAGAACGTGCCCTCTTTAATACCCATCACTAGGCTAACCCATCCTCCCACCCCCCTCCCCTCTAGAATCCTCAGTTTGTTTTTCAGAGTCCATAGTCTTTCATGGTTCGTCTCCCCCTCCGATTTACCCCCCTTCATTCTTCCCCTCCTGCTATCTTCTTCTTCTTCTTTTTTTTTTTTCTTAACATATATTGCATTATTTGTTTCAGAGGTACAGATCTGAGATTCAACAGTCTTGCACAATTCACCGCGCTTACCAGAGCACATACCCTCCCCAGTGTCTATCACCCAGTCACCCCATCCCTCCCACCCTACCCCCTACTCCAGCAACCCTCAATTTGTTTCCTGAGATTAAGAATTCCTCATTTCAGTGAGGTCATATGATACATGTCTTTCTCTGTTTGACTTATTTCACTCAGCATAATACCCTCCAGTTCCATCCACGTCGTTGCAAATGGCAAGATCTCATTCCTTTTGATGGCTGCATAATATTCCATTGTATATATATACCACATCTTCTTTATCCATTCATCTGCCAATGGACATCTTGGCTCTTTCCACAGTTTGGCTATTGTGGACATTGCTGCTATAAACATCGGGGTGCACATACCCCTTAGGATCCCTACATTTGTATCTTTGGGGTAAATACCCAGTAGTGCAATTGCTGGATCGTATGGTAGCTCTATTTTCAACTTTCTGAGGAACCTCCATACTGTTTTCCAGAGTGGCTGCACCAGCTTGCATTCCCACCAACAG